GAGTAATTCATCAATTGATGGATAATATATTAAAAAAATAATAAAATTTTACCGAATCACTATTCTCAGAATAAAATTCGGTGAAAAATTACTTATAAACAAAAGTTTTTTGAAAAACTATTTTATATCCATAAGAAGAAAATATCTTCTCAAAGAACTTTAAAAAAAATGCAATATTTCTTCCAAAAATGATCTTGGATCGAATTTCACTTAACAAGTCTACTCATTTTCCATATATATAACAAGTCTTACAGTTTCTATGTACATAAACAAAATAAATGAGTGAACAATAAGAACAAGAAAAAAAAAGGGAAAAAAATAAATATTGTTTGTTTGATCTTTCTTTCTTTTTTAATTTTAACAAAAGAAAGGCATGGACAATTTAAAGTGGGGGGTGGAATCGTGAGAAGCAGAGACGGTGGCAAAGAGGTATGGGATGGTGGATGTAGACATGGGTGTATAGCCTTATACCAACATCCTCTGTTTCACGTGAAAATGGCGTCATTTTCTGCTTGGCTTCACTTAAATACTTGAAAATTAACAGTAGAAAACCCATTCCTAATTCAATGCATGTCATGTGCTTTCATCAAATGCCCTCAATCATTCATCAACTTCAGGATACTATCTAATATCCTCTCTTCGATCCCCTTTTTTCTTTTGTTATGTTTGAAATCAAGTGCCCAGAAGTTAACAATAAACTAAGGAGAAGGATTCCTTTACAAATTTTTTTGATAAATTTTTACAAATTATATTATCTTCTTCCGGGAGAATATAGTGAAATTAGTGTTCTCCCAAGAGAACATAGTATAGTGTGTAAGAGTTTGTAAACAAAAAAATTTGTAAATATAATATGTCCCGTAAACTAAAAGGTTAATCTTTTCTTATTGTACATGAGAAAAAAATTTCTATGTTACACACACAATTAAAGGTCAGTCCCATCTTTATTTTTTTGTCTTTTCACATTTTTGTGAATCCCACTTATATATTGAGTGTGTAGTATAAGAAAATTTTCTTATGTAAAATGAGAAAATTAATCCCCTAAACTAAATTGACAAAACTATATTGAAAGAATAAAATAGAAAATTAACAAAATAAACCGGAAGTGAAACAATATGTATATAAACGTGCGGGAGCGAAAATATTAAACAAATATAATATAAAATTATTAATGTGATATTTATCTAATAGCTAAAATTTTTGGGTTGATCAATATATTTTTTACATGGTATCAAATTCTATATGATCAGGTGGTCACGATATTCATCCTCACCGCTCTTATTTTATTAATAAATAATTAATATTATAGAATTTCTTAATATAGATAAACATAGTTTATTCTTTGTTTACTCTTCGAGTCCAGTGACTTTTGTATAAATGATATATTAAAAAATATAATATAAAATTTATTAATGTGAGATTCACTTAACAATTAATCTTTGATTGAAATGGTGTTAATTTTATGTGGAAAAAAAAACTTTATTTTTCTTATTTGTCATATGATACCTTGATAAGCTAACAAAACAACTAACGTATATGAATAAACTTGAAAGGCTTTAACAAATTATGAAAACAAAAAAGAAGTACGAGTGATGTGTTAAAATGTTAAGAGATTAAACCAGTCAATATAATATATTTAAAATTTAGGAACTAATTAAATTCAATGTTTACTAAAACCAAAATGAATAGATAAATGTTTTGTTAACGAAAATGCACACGTTAAGAAATAAAAATAAAAATAAAAAAATTCTAGAATTTAATATCTTAATAATTTTAAAAAATTCATATTTTTAAATAATTAATAAAAAATAATAAATACTAGTTTCAGTTATTTACTTGTGTTTAAAGGCACACGTTAAGAAAATTTAACAAGTAATTCTACTTTTTTAAATTGATTTGTTAGTGAATTTTCAATTAATGATAAAAAACTGTTACGGAGTAAAAATAACTGCTAGAAATAAATGTGACTTGAGTGAAATTCTCATACATCCATTCCACTTCAATCTTTGTTTTTTATATTTGATGTTTACTCCTTGTTTTCAAACCCGCATCTTTTCTCCTTGTTTTCAGGCTTGAGTGCACAATTCACATATCCCAGGCAGATAGCTTAACTATGCATCAAATTGTGATTCGTGAGCCTTTGTTGGTAACTGAACATTTCAGTAGTGCAACAAAGTGAACCTATTTTTGTTCACAACGCTAAGAAAAAATTGATCATAGTGATGGTCCTATTTCGGTATTATTATAGCATGCAATCATAATATTTCTTTAGTAGGTAAAAAAATACACATGTAGAGTACGGTATAAATCAGTAATTAATGATAAATATAGATCGAATCTGTTTTTATTCTTTTCTTCTATTCACATTGCGTCACTTTGCACTTAGGTGCTGTTTGGTTGAGGAGATTTTGAAAGATTCCTAGGCAAATCATCTTGGAAAAACACAAAGTCTATATTTGGTTCACAAGATTCATTAATGTTTCTCATCTATGCCATTTGCATAGCAATCCTTTTTTGGTAGATGATAGCTAGGCATTGGCACTATTTAGAAAGATTTATTGAACATGGGTTTTTGTGGATAGCCAGCAAAATTGCAAAAAGCAAAAATGAAGCAACCGAAAATACCTTCCTTGGCTTAATATGAATCACATGGATTAGGATTGTTAACACTATCAACTATGCTTCCTTCTCTCGTCAATTCTGAATGCCAAGTTAGCAACGAATTCACGCCATGCTCTCCTCGGTTGCAACGAATTCAACAAAGGATACAGAACTGAAAATAGGAAATATATCAGCCTCATTCAGTATCTCGGACATGTTTGCTATCCTTAATTGCAATGACTGCTATGGCTAACACATTTCAACCATCTAGAAATAGAGGAACTCAGCACCAACCTACAATGAATTCAACTATGGCTAACACATTTTCCATTGTCTCTGTTCTCTATTTTCTTTTCTTTTTCGTTTTAAAAATTTTAATAACAGGGATATTTTCGTAATTATCACTTATTTCTCCATCTATATTTTACCTCAAACCAAACACAGATTTTATAAATCTTACCGAATTTGCCTGGTAAAATTTGTTCAAACCAAACAATTTTTTTTACATTTTCCTACCTAACTCACTTTCCAACCATTTCCCTATCAATTACATTTCCCTAGTATTCAAAAAAATTCTCCTCAACCAAACGCCCCCTTAGGGTGTAAATGGATGGGCAGGGTCAGTCTTTAAGCTAAATAGTTTATATTTAGGGAAACGATTCATTTACAATTTTTTTTTTATAAATTATATTAAGTATGATCGATTATACACTCTTGATTGAAATATGATCAGTCATACTTAGTGTAGTTTGTAAGAGTTTATAAATAAAAAATTTGTAAATATAACATTACCCTTAAATTTATGTAAAATATTTTAAATTTGATCTGATTTGTTAGTTTGGTGCAGGGCTAATTATAAGTCTGCTCTAATCTATATTTAAAAAAATAAAAAATCAGCTGGCATTATTATTTAAATCTATGTTTAAACCTATTAGGCATTCAAGAATTAAAAAAATAATTAAAATAATGTTACTTTATTATTTAAAATTATTTGAATAATAATTTTATTTATTTTATTTTAAATAAATAATATGATATAGAGCAGTCTTTAAGCGTATAGGTCATGCCTTGTAAAAGAAGGGTCATGGATTATTTTCTAAGGAATAGATTATATTTACAAACTTTTTATTTACAAATTACATTATGTATTCTCGGGAATACATTCCTAACCGAGTTTATTTCCATAAATACATAGTTAAATTTGTAAATAAAATATTTATAAATATAACATTTTTTATTTTCTAAATTCATTTTTTTTATACCGAGGATAAGCCGCCTGACTTATTTATATCTTTATTATTGTCAATATCTATATTAATTGTCTTAGCCAATCTAACGGGAGCGTATAGCTCAGCATATTAAATATAGTCAAATAGAACAGGCTCATCTCTAAAAATTTATATTTAAAAAGTATGTCATAGACTTTCTTTTACTTCTGAGCCTATAAATTTATATGCCAGCATATATTATATTATTTATTTTAAATAAAATAAATAAATAATTATTTTAATGATTTTGAATAATAAAAATACTATTTTTTAATTATTGAATGTCTAAAAATTTAAACAGACAATCAGACCTAGGTCAAGGTTTTTATTTTTTAAATATATATTTAGACTAGACTTATAATTTATAAAACTAACAGATCATATCAGACGTAAAATATTTTAGGTAAACCTAACTTATTTAAACTAAAGTTGAGTCCAATTTGCTATTTATATCTCTAATGAGGAAGAATAATAAATAAATAAAAAGGAAGAAATTGATTATGCTAGTTATATCATATTCGAAGAAGAAAAAGGTAATCGCAGTTAAATTAAAAATATTTACTATTCCTTTTATTTTCCGTCATCTTCTAGCTTTTTATTCATTAGATGCTTTCTTTCTTTTCTTTTTTGGTAAACAGATGCTCTCTTTACCTCTTCATCATTCGTTTTCTGAGCAGAAGAAATAATTAATAGACAGCACCCACTTAGCACTGTCCCCAACAACGCTGCTTACATAAGCATGTGATATCAGCTCAATTAAAAAAGAGTACCCTCATGCCAATATCCCACACGTGAATCATGAGCTTCTCATCGCCAACGAATAAAGCATTTTTAATTTTATATGAACCAAAAACGGCAGCAGCATATTATATTAACAAAGAAAGATTAATTACACTTTGCCATGTGATTCCGATATGCTAAAAATGGAAAAAATAAATAAAAATAAAATAAGGAACATGATAACATGTGCAAAAGCAAATCCTGCTTCACGAGCCTGCCATTGTGGTCCATTTCTCCATTCATACTCCAAATATCTCAAAGTGAAACGCACTGCCGTTTGTTACCAACACGTGTATCGCATCACCTTCCCAAAACGCCATCTCCCCCTGATAGCAAAAACACTATATTTCATTCACATAACTATAATAATTATAAATTTGCATAACTCAATCGAGGATTAACATGTGCCCATTAAACTCGGAAGGAGCCATTGTTAAGAGTTATGTACAATTATAATTACAAAAAGTATACAATAATCTTCATGATCGCTCTTTCACCTCATCCCAACAATTAAAAAAATTTACAAGATAAAAAAAAAAGATATAAGCTACAAAAAATTTCTCTTTTTTTTTTTTCTTTCTTTCTTTTCTTTTTATTCTCTACGTACACATTCTTGTGCAATTTGATTTTGTTTTGGTTGAGTGTTGTTGATCGAACTTAAACTTCTTGGGAGGTGTCAGGTGATGAGAGAGGGAAGCACGTGTCCTCGCCACCAGTGTTCCATAGGAAGTGAGCATAATTAGCAGCATAGTAAGAGTTGCTAGGTTCAGCAGAAATTGCTTCCAAATAAGTCTCCTCCGCAGCCCACAAATCGTTCTTCACCTTCCATAGGAAAGTGGCGTATTTATTATACGCTTCCGCATCTGGTGGCTCCACCTCTATCGCTCTCTTGAAGTACTCTTCCGCTCTGTGTCCAAACCACAAATCATAAATTAATGTCTCAACAACACACCCACTTTTCACATGCAAATTGCAATATGCAAACTTGTATTATATGCATACACGTATTCGTCCAAAAAAAGTCAAAGTCAACAACTAAATTACGTGTGAGGAGATCTCTCTTATCATGCACGTACACATCACGAGCTTAAGATGATAATAATAGATCTATAGCTCATGAACCAATGGTCGAGGGAAACCACACCACATACTCCTCTATCAAGTTTCAAATTAGACAAAAGCCGATTTTTACTTTTTCTTCTCTTCAATTTGGTTGAATTTTCAAAGACAAAAAAAACCAACTTCCCCCTAACTATATTGAATTGAAATCTAATATAATAGGTAACATAACTCCATGCATCTTGTTACATATGCATATTATACTTACAACTACTTTTATCTTACAATTTCTTCAAATTAACGATTATAAAATTACATGAAGTAAAAATAATTAATTTAATTTTAATCCAATAATAATAAAAATAATTATGAATATCTATACAAGAATAATTGAAATAAATACGCACCTGTCATAGTCATGTAAAACGAGGTAGAGGAACTGAGCATAGTTGGCAAGGAGAAGAGTGTTGTTGGGTTCTTGAGACAACCCTGTTTGGTACACAAGCTCTGTTCTTAAGTACTCTGCATAATCATCGGATTCAATCCTTGCTGTCACGGGCGAAACGAAACGTTTCATGGCATCATGGTTCAAACCTTCTCCATCTCGCAAACCCACTTGCATGCTCGAAGCTTCTTCAACCATGGAGTTCCACAGCCTCGTTTCTTTCTCTTCTTCTTTCTCCTCTTGCCCTGACACTGACTCTGTTTCATTCTCCCCTGTTTTGAAAACCTGAGAAGAAGCACCACCACCGCCGCCATGAGGGACAATCGTGCCGTGGCGGGACCGGTCCGACCCGTCGAACCTTCCGTCCCCGTCGGTACCGTTGGCTACTGGACGGAACTTCCCGCCGCCTCCATTTCCGCCGCCGACGCAGGCTGTTTTTCTCCCGTTCGAATTTGACACTGAGAATGTCTTGATTGCGGTGGAATCAAACTTGTGGTGGTTCTTTTGGTCGTGAGCGTCGCTCACGGAAGAAGCTACCTCCCTTGTCGGAGTTACGGCGGCGATGGCGGCGTTGTGCCCCATTGAATAGACGGTGAAATTGGCGAGGAGAATCATGACATACACCATAAGGGTTGGTGTGTGAGAGAAGACTTGTTGAAAGAGCCAAACGAAGGATGCATGCATTTCCTTCTGAACCCTTTGGAGAATCCCTTGAAGATCTTGGTAGAAGAGAATCTCCCTCATTTGGAGTGTGTAACTGTGAAGTTCTCGAATGATGAAGACCATTGAAGAGAAAGCTTTCTTCACGGAGCAATAAGCATTTTCCTTTGCCTCTATTATACCTTCTTTTCCCTGAAGCTTCTTCTTTATGATTCTCAGTGAAAAGGGTAAGTCCACGCTGTTCGCTTTCCGTTCAATATTCGCCGGAATAATAATCTCCTCGCCACCGCCGCTCCACGGTGGCTCAAACTCCTGGTCGGTAAAATTGACCGCTGAAGAAGAAGATGAAGATTCGTCACTGCAATTCGAAGAGAAGAAATCCGAATTCGAATCCATTGCATTGGAGTCACCGGAAAGCTGGAACCTGAGAGCTAAGTCTTCAATCTTTTTGGAGAATTCTTCGTCGGAGAAAGACTCCAAGCTCGCGCTGAAGGCCCTTCTTATGGTTCTTCTGCGAGTAGAAAGTGGGTAGTTGTTGAAAGATCGAGACCTGTGAAGAAGAACCTTCTGCTGCTGCTGCGTCGATCGGAAGAGGCTGGAGCGGTGCACCAATCGGAACACCGCCGGAGAACATGCTCCTCCATCTCCTCCACCGCTGTTGTTGCGGCTTCGTGGTTTGGACGAAGGAGATGAGATCGCAGAGGCTAGAGTTTGAGATGAAGAAGGAGAATGAGGAAGCACTGGCTGTGACAATTGCAAAACCTTCAACCCCATGATGATGATGATGATAACGTTTCAAGTCAGAATCAGAATTGGAATGGTTAAGAGAATGAGAAAAAATGAAACTGATTTGAGAATTGGAATAAGGAGAATCAGGTTAACCCAAAAGATGAAACTTTTGTAAGACTTGAAAAATAGGGAAAGTGGGAAACCCCTTTTGCATAAAACTACGAAAAGTCTTTGCCTTTCTTCCTTTTAGCTCACTCCAACCTGTAAAATCAACCAAACCAGATTCATTGGAAAAACGAACAAAAAAAAATTAAAATTAACGAAGAAACAAAAGGGCGTGAACATCAACGCAAAAATTCACAATATCGAAAATCAACTCATCACAACCCCAATTTTCCATGTCTTAATGATTACAATTTCCAAAAAAACCGGATCCAAGAACGAGATCCGAGACAACGGGAAAGTGTTATATTATGTTATGTTATGTTATGTAATGAGTAGACTCACTCTGAAGCAAACGGCGGTGAACGCGGTTTTAATTTTTTTTTCCGGTGAAACGCCGGCTAGATTCTCCGATAAATGAGGCGGCGGAAGCGAAGCACAACAAGTTGCAGCTTCAGTATATCAAGAGGAGCAAGCGCACACGGGTGTTATATATATAAGCAGAGGCTAAAAAATACAATGAAGGTGGAGAAAAAATATCAGTAGCTTAAGACCGGTTACGACGGTTCAGTGGTCCCACCGTATTGCATACGAACCGCCATTCTTCACTACAGATTCCTCAGGTTACCGGTTGGTTTCGGTGTGGGCCCGCGTTTCCAGTCGATATTTTTTTTTCCTCCTTCACTAATTTAAAAGCTTCGGGTAACTAGATATTATCAATTTAAAAAAAAAAAGTTATACTTGTTTTAATTTTAAAAAGTTTTGATTATGACTTGCATAATGACGGGACACTTATACTAAATAGCATAACTTAAGAAAAGAAATTTAAATTTGATTAATTACTAATATAATATTTGTTATATTTTCATTTAAATTCATATTATCACCAAAAAGTATTTGAAAAAGCATCATAATTATTATCTTTGAAACTTATTAACTTTGGGTTGTGTGTGATGGAAGACACTAGTGGGTGTTAGGGGGACTTTTCAGTCCGATGCGGCTTCTATCACGGGAGCAAATGGATCCCATCTGGCCGTTGTGCTTCCGCCACGTGTCGAAGTTGACGCATTTACTTTTTGTGAAAAAATATTGCCAAAAGAACGTGAAAATACCGTGATTCACCACCGACCCTTCCGGTGTAATCGCTCTAGGACACGTACCCTAGCCTGTAAACATGGGGCATTTTCAACTTTTTGTCATCTCCTTCATAATAGGACATTTGTTCTCACAACACCCCCAAAAGAGTACTGCTTCATTTTTCCATATTTTCTTTCATACCTGAAAATACAAGAAAATTATAATTACAAAGATCATCTAAGTACATAAACTTCACACACCACGTTTAAACTTCTCACACCAAGTTTTTAACTTACTTTTTTGATGTTTTGTAAAGGATAATTTTTTTATATTTGAAAATTATAATTTTTAAGAATATGGTGAGAAAGTTATTTTTTCTGAAATATTATCAAAAAATTATTTATTAGGCTGAGATATTATTGGAATTTTGTTTCAAAAGAAGTGTAAAATTTTCTTAATACTTGAGATTTCAAGAATACCACTTCTTTGGTGATATTCTTCAATGATATTTAAAAAAAAAAGTATACACAAAATAAAATTCTAAAAAAATAAGATTTTCAGAAAAAAATTCAGAAATTTTATACCAAATATGGATAAATAAAATTATCTCCATAATTTTTCCGATAATATCAAAAAAATTCCCTTATCAAATACAACTGAAAAAGAGACATACCACAAATATTACTAAAAACCCAAGTGTGTGAAGCTTGAGTAGACTTAGCATTTGTGTTAATAACACTGCTGGAAATATATTACTTATATATTTTTGTAATGAAATTAAAAAAAAAAAAATGCGCTTCTGAATACATACTTTCTTATTTTGTTTTTTTCCCAAAATAAGTAAAGAGTAACATAAGATGTAAAGGAAAAGATGTGTCACAATCATATATTTTCCAAGTTTAAAAAGAAAAAAAAATTAATTATACTGTTTATTTAAAAAAAAAAATTCATTAACACTGAGCTTGGAAAAAACTACTCTTACGTAATATAAGAGTAGTTTTATCTTCAATAAATTTATCAAAAATCATATTTTTTTTGTTTTTTTGTAAATAATAACTAGCTCCACCATATATATATTTATGAGCTTACTTAAGCTATTTGGCTTTGTATGAGGGCATAATAGTTGGAACACTTGAACCGGAAGCATTTGTCCATTTTGATGACATGACAGATCACTGGATTTTTATATATTAAATACCATAAATGTCCTCGTTTGTTATAACTTACCTTGCTATATGCTAGAGTTATTTTCGACATATTAAACATAAGGGGGCTAAATAATTTACAAGAAAATGAACATATATATAATGTAAATTCTTATTTTTTTTTTTTCTTTACCAGTTTGCTAACTATGCTCATAACTTGCATAAGACAAATAATTTTGTCCTATATACAGGTAAATTTAATGGGAATTTTGTCGTATATAGAGGTAAATTTAATGCTATATTTCACATTAAATGTAAAGAACCAATTCAACCCAACAGCTTAAGCTCTTGGGTGAGGCTACATTAATGGTTTTATATATCTCAACATGCCCCCTCACACGAAAGTCCACTGGACTTGAAGGGTGGACAATGCACAGGGCCACCTACCTCTGCGAAGAAAGAAATTCCACTTGAAAGAAAGTGAGGGGCGGCGAGAATCGAACCCAGGACACGAGGCTCTGATACCATGTAAAGAACCAATTCAACTCAACAGCTTAAGCTCTTGGGTGAGGCTACATTAATGGTTTTATATATCTCAACATTAAGAATGAAGGCGTTATTTTATTAGAGTCATGTAGAATGTAGATATAGACCAAATATTAATAACAACGAGTTCAAAGTATAATCTTATATATATGTTGGAAATGGATCCTCTCATATGGAAAAAAATATGATATAGTCATGTGGGAAGATCACAACAATATAAAAGTAAATCAACGGTTACGATTTCGTAACTACCTATTTTAATATTTTTCTCTCTCCTCTTTTATTACCATTGATCCTCTTTTGTATGGTTATGATTTCCTACATGACATGGTCATGTGAATTTTCACATGAGAGGATCCAGATCCATATATGTTAGTTAGTTAAACATCATGAAACATAATACACATATATATATATATATATATATATATATATATATATATATATATATATATATATATGAGGTAGGATCCTTTGACACTAGTGTCAAATTTTAAATTTGACACCTCATCTGAGAGCCGTTAGATCAAAAAAGATCATTGGTGTCACATGCTTGCAAATCAGAGTCGTTGGTCTTTTTTTATCTAACGGCTCTCAGATGAGGCGTCAAATTTAAAATTTGACACTGGTGTCAAACGATCCTATATATATATATAGGAAACTAATTTTCTCATTTCACATGAGAAAATGTTCTCATGTTATACTCACAATACATAAGTGGGATCCACAAAAAGGTGAGAAGATAAAAAAGTCAAGATGGGACCCACTCATATATTGTGAGTGTAGCATGAGAAAATTTTCTCATGTAAAATGAGAAAACTATATGAAAAAAAATATTTAGACAATTTTATCTAATGTTTACCGAAATGATATCATTTTATGATTGAAAAATTAAAAAATTATAATGATAAAGATTATATAACCCTGAAATAAATTCAAATTACAAACACATCATTATATCAGGCATAAAACGACATTGTTTCGGTGAATATTAGATAAAATTATCTAAAATAATTTTACATCAACGAATCCATATATATATATATATATGAGAAAAATATATCTCAAGTAGCTTGAGATATATTTATCTCGGTCTACCCAAAAACTATGTCATTTTGTTTATCTATTTTTTTATATTAATTGATTCACCTTTGAATGATTATGATTCTTTTTTTCTCTCTCTTCCTTTATCACTATTGATTCATCTTTGTACATGATAAACCCTTGGTTTATAAGGTTTTAAAGCATGAATTAGCTTAATTTGTGTGATTAAATGGATGGAAAAGAGGGTTAATGTCCTGGAAAGTCCTAAATACAAGTTCTGAAGTTTGTATTGAAAATTTAATTGTTCTTGTAGGAAAATTAATCTCAAGAAGCAAAAGAGAGAAGGAAAAAGATTCTGAAGAATTTGGAGGATTCAAGTGTTGAGAGCTAAAACGCTAAAGACAAATGTTTTAGCGCGCTGCTGCCAAAGGAAGCCCAAAAGTGTTGGTGCTGAGCGCTAAAACGGCCAAAGCAAACGTTTTAGCGCGTTGATGTTCGCCAAAATTCCCTGGAAGTGTGCTCTTTAGCGGTCATGATGAAATGTTTTAGCGCTGAGGACAGTTAAAAGCGGTTAGACATCCTTCAAGTGGAGCGCTAAAACGTCCAACAAGGAGCGTTTTAGCGCTTCAACGTTTGTGACAACAATTACAAAGGAGCGCGTTTTAGTGCTCGATCTAGCGTTTTAGCGCCATGTCAGTTTCTGGATGTTATTTCAGTTTTGAACTTGTAAACTATAAAAGGGCAAGGGGCCTTCACACTTAGGATCTGATTTTTTTTTTCATTCTCTGAATTTCCAAATTCCTTAGGTCTTAGTCTTGTATTAGTTTTAGTATACTTTATGTAATTGTGATTGAAGATTGAAGATTCAACAACATGAGAATGGAGTTTGATCTTTCCTCTTCTCTTGTTATTTCTGTTTCTATGTCTGAGTAGAGTCCCTTGTAGTTGGATTTCAATGGAACTCAAGGATGAATTTATGTATGGTTGATTGAATATTATGATTATATTTTATGTGATGAAATGAAAGTGTCTTCGTTAATTCTTTCCATTAAGGAAGTAATGTAGAACAAGAATGTTGACATTACTTCTGTAACTGACAATTTCATCATCAGTGTTCTATTATTCAGGAATGGAAATAGGACTCTGGTGCAATCTTTAAAATCTTAGTGATTAATGTATGTATTGAGAAGGGAATCACCAAGGAATTGGGGTTTCTTGATTAATGTATCAACTAAGATAGTAAGGAATTACATCTTAGTGATAATAAGAAGATTGATTGACATCACATTAGAGATAATTCATGATTGGATCGATTCTTACATAAGTTTATGGTTGAGGGATATTGATTTCCTTACTACTTGTTTTAAAATTGTAATTCATATTTTAGTTATTTTACCGATTTCAAATATAATTCAAATTCTGGTGACAATTATCAATGCATTCATTGATTTCTTGTTTGATTCAACTTAATTATAAATGGTTAGTTGGTGTTTGAATACAAATCCTCGTGGAAACGATCTTTACTTATCATTTTATTATTTGTACGACTAGTACACTTGCTAAAGTCGCAAAGTACGGTTATGATTTAATAGCCGAAGATAAAGTTATCTCAAGCAATTGGAGAAATGATAAGCCATATGTGTGTGTGTGT